GCGGGGCAGCTGGTGCTGTGGTGGGCACAGCTGTGGCCGCCGCTGGCAATGGACATGCAAGCAGTCTGGCCGGCGGTCTGTGCCGGGCCGAAAGCTTTCCGGTGCTGCTCGACTGCAGCCAGGGCGCTGGCATTGTGCTGGGCGCTGCCAGCAGCTGTGGACGCGCCGTCAGCATTGCGCAAATCGTGACCGATTCGGTGGCCGATCGCAGCGGATGCATACAGCCGGGTGATCGCATTGTGGCCATCAATAAGATGTACAGCCTGGACGCTGCGGCCATGCGGCAGCTGCTCGATGGCCGTGCCGGTGGCGGTGCCCATGCTGCAGCCCATTGGCTGGAGCTGGAGGTGGAGTTCGATATGCCAGACGCGGTGGTGCCCTCCAGCGGTGTGTTCAACGTGAAGCTGCTGCGCGCGGGCAAATCTGGCCTGGGCTTGAGTGTGAGCGGTTCGAGTCACGGAGGTCTGGTCATCTCCGATGTCAAGATGGGCAGTCCGGCCCATCGCTGTGGCACGCTGCGGCCGGGCGACATACTGCTAGCTGTGGATCAGCATCCGGTGCAGCATTTCAACGTGGATGCTCTGCTCAAAGAGCTGCCAACGGCCACGGCAGCGACAACAGCGGCAGCCCCAACGGACTTCACCACGCTGACAATTAAGCGTGTGGTGCTGCCCGACTTTCTGCCCAGCCCACCCATCTACAGCAACTGCACCACCGCCGTGGTGGCTGGCGGCGGAGGCGGCGGTGGGGACAATGAGCTGTATAGCAGCGCCTACGTGGCTTCCAAGTATGGTGAGGTCAAGTACAACGACTGCATCTCACTCAAGTCGAGCACGCCGCAGCCGGATTACTTCCGTGCCAACTCGAGTCTCGATGAGACGGGCAGCCTGCAGTCGGTGCAGCTGCGGCATCCGCCCTCCAATGGCGCCTGGCCGGTGGGCAATGGTCGCGGCTTTGCCAACGGCACGGCCAACACGCAGAGCCTGACCACCGAACTGGCCGAGCAGGAGGAGGACGAACAGGACGAGGAGCATGAGCAGGCGTCTCATTACGGCGGCTACGAGTTGAATCGTTATGCCAGGTGAGTGGTCCTTGCCAACGGCGACAGCTAGACCCCATCCTAATCGCACCAATCTCACGTAGCGTGGACTGCACCGCTCTGCCGCCGCCCATGGAGAGCAAGGTGTATGGCTCGGCGGCCAGTTCCAGCAGCAAGAGCAGCGGCAGCAGCCTGCATCAGATCATCTTCACAGTGCGGCTGGAGCCGAAGGGCGGCCTGCTGGGCATCACGTTGGCGGGCAGCGAGGATATTACCAAGCCGATCACCATAAGCGGCCTGGTCGAGGGTAAGTGCTGAGAGATAGCTAACACTCAGCAAACAACTGATGCACCTGCTCCACCTGCTCGTTTGCCTAGGTGGAATTGCGTTTAAGAACGGACAGATACACGTGGGCGATCAGCTGCTGGCCATCGACGAGCACTCGGTGCAGGGCATGCCGCTCTCGCATGCCACCAGCCAGCTGCATCATCTGGGCGACGTGGTTGACCTGAAGATACTGCGCAGCCACGACATCAACAGCAGCTCCAGCTGCAGCCTGCCAGCTGCAACGCAGGCCATCTATGCCAAGGTGCAGCGACGCCCGCGCAGTCCCTCGACCAACACCGAGGCCAGCAGCAGCAACAAGGATCCGCAGCAAGGACAGCAGCAGCAGCAGCAGCAGCAGCAGCGCGTCTTCCATGTCACACTTTACAAGGATAAGGTCTACGATGACTATGGCTTCTCTGTCTCGGATGGGCTCTACGAGCGAGGCGTCTTCATCAATCGCATACGCAGCGGCGGCCCGGCGGATATGTGTGGCCAGCTGAAGCCCTTCGATCGCATCATGCAGGCGAGTTCAGCCGATCATTGCCGATCATATATATGTATATATAATATATCCCTCTCCCTCTCTCTCTCTCTCAGGTCAATGAGATTAAGACGCAAGACTTTGACTGCTGTCTCACCGTTCCGCTGATCGCTGCAGCAGGCGACAAGATCGAGATGATCATGCAACGCTCCGAATGAACAGCGATCCTCGCTCTGCGATCGCTTCTACATATTTCTCTTTTATTCTTCTTTTTTTTTTGTAATCTTTAACTAGTTGTATATTAAGTCTTAGCGCTAAGTGCCATTCTTTTGTACCTAACTGATGCCCCTCCCCGCCCCTCCCAGCCGATATGCCTTAACTAATTTTAACGACAATAAGTTATGCCAAGTGCCTGCAAAGTTTTTTTTCTATCTATACAAAGATATACCAACGATCGTCTACCATAACCAAATAAATGAGAGAAAGAGAGATCAGAGTGCATCACCCGATGCGCACGGAAAATAATTAATAATTGTACTTTTATTATGTTTTATTTTATATACGAATATATACGAGAAAAGAACTAAACAAAATGAAAAAACACAATAAACAACAATTTACCTAAGGCTTCATCCATCTTATTTCCATTTCAGAAAGAGAGCGAGAGAGAAAGGGAGAGAGAGAGAGAGAGAGAGAGAGAGATGCAGCAGGACAGAGTAAGAAACAGGAAGGAAAAGAATAAAACAGAAGATGATAAAGTGGTGCAGAAAATGAAAGAAGTTGCGAGAGAGAGAGGGAGAGCCTCTGCCTCTCTCTCTAAATCAAAGTAAAGCAGAAAGAGGGAGAGACAAATATGAAGATATAGGCGAAAAAGGAGAAAGACAAAAAAACTATGAGAAGCAGAAAAATAATGAAAAAGAAAGAAAATAAATGAGAAAATAATGAGAGAGGAAGAATCAAAGAGAGAGCGAGAGATAGACAGAGAAGACAAAGATGGGGAGAACCAAAGAGAAGAAGAGCGATATACAGAGACATAGAAATATTGGTTGAGAGGGGTAGAGATACCGAGGACAAACCAAAAAAAAGAAAGAAAGTTAAATGTAGAGAGAACGGAAAGACGGAAGAAGAAGAAAAATGAGAGAATGAGAGAGAGAGAGAGATGACAATGGCGATCTACAGCGCTCGCTCTTAAATTGAATGCCAAATATCACATATGAAACTTGCCCGTTCTATAGAGTAATTAATATTTTTAGAAGCAGTTCGTACTCATTAAGTTAAGTTCCATAAGCAAAGAAGCATATCTAATTGTTAAACATCTTGCTATGAAGGCTGTTAGCAGCTTCGTAGCTATGAGCAAACGTAATAAGCTGAGTATAATAGATGCAGCTCGGAGCTACCTCAAAGAATTGAATCGGGGCTCAACAAATTTGAATCGAGATTGACAACAGGAGGCTCGTTTGTTGTTGACCTAGTGTTATGTTATTATGGCATTTGTTTTTTCTGTTTGCTGACGCCCTCTGGGGTTCCTCTGGTTACGTTATTCAATATTGAACTTTGGGACTATAAACAAGTGTGTGCGCGGACGTCAACGGCCTTATGTCCCTCTACGGAGACCATTATCTATGGGCCTCTCTGGAAAACAGATCGAAAAGTGCAATAAAAAAAAAACAAACACTGTATTGATTGAAACGCTGTAAACAAACGCCATATCAGCATGTTGGGCCATTAATAATACCTGAAGCGGAAAACATACGTAATACCCTATACGGGTAGTAAAAAATTGAATAGAATTTGCCAAGACATTCATATCCCAAACAACTTTCGAAACTAATTTCCACCCAACTCTCACCTAGAATGTTCCAATTCAAAAAGGCTTTGCTCAATCTACCTATCAATAACCTGTAGAAGTTTTAGACTCCTCCATCTATCTATATTTATAGATAAGAAATAATCGCTTTGGTTACAGCGACTTCTGGCTTCCGCCTTATCTAAACAGCAATATTTCCACTTACAGCTTTACAGGGTATCTCAGGTAATATTTCTGCCATAATCCGAGAATGTAAATCAATATATGTATGTATGCAGCTGCTAGCTAGATTGCTGTAAGTAAATAAAACTGAAACTGAGCCATTTTCGTTTCTATATACGTTCTATTTTTAAACCAATGTTAACCGTTGTACGTCGCTCCCCCAGCCCCTGCCCCGCGGCGAGCTGTATGGAATTCCCCTTTCGCCGCGTTCGTACGATTTGCTGTTGAAGCTCGGCGATGGAAGAGAGAGATTGCTAGAGAGAGATGAGCACAAACGGCAAAGCAAAGCCAAGAAGTAGATGAAGAAGAAGAATGATGTATGAAGCGATCGGTGATAAGGCAACTGAGCTGGTTTATTCTAGGCGATCTGGTCCAGCCAGCAGCTCCCATTGACGTCAATGGCGCATTGAGATCCTGGTGGAAAAGTCAAGCGACTGGCAGGCCGGTAAACACCTTTGCCAATGGACTTTGGACTGGCTGATTTTTGTTGTTCTGAATGCCGAATCCGTAACGGAACCAGATTACTGATAACAGCAAAGCCACCCGCCACGGATGGCAACTGCATTGAGCCCGCCCCGAATCTGGGAGGCGTGTCAGCTGTGAGCGCTTGACACAGTTTCCAATTCAGTTTTGCTTTTGTTTTGTTGCCGATTGGCAGGCGATAAGCGCGTTCCACCGTACAGTCATCTCTGTAGGCGGCGACATTATCTATGCCAATTCAAATTGTGTCTTTGCTTTGGCGTTTCATCACTTTTGCGCGCTTCTTCCGCTATTCTCCGACTTTGGGTTCGGGGCAGAAGCTTTAAGCTTTAGTTCAAAGCCATCGCGAGCTTTTGGCTAAGCGGCATTGCGACTTTGATCTTCGCTTGTCACGCTTATCGTGTTTAAAGTGCATCTGACAGCGACGTTGGCGTCGGCGTCGACATCGACATCGACGTCATTTTGTACTTTGCAGCCTGCGCTTTTCGAGATCGAGGGAGGGGTGGGAGCTAGGTTTTGCAGGCAAAGCTTATCTTAGTGCCGTTATACCCCGCTCAGCTGCAGCGACGAGGCCGAAGCTCGAGTCGCCGTCGTCGCATACAAATTGCGTGCCGCGCAGCTGTTCGGCTCAGTGCTCTGTCGACCGTCATACGCAACGGACAGTGCGCGCAATTAACGGGACTAACGGGAGAATCATTTCTTCTTCTGCCTTTTGTTTTTCTTAATCCTCTCAACTGGCGCAACTGAAAGAAACGTGCCAAAAAACTTAAGCACAACTATATACTTCGAAACCAAAGTGAATGTCGAGTGCTGTGTGAGCGAGACAGATAAATTTACAGACAGATACTGAGTGAGAGGGAGAGAGAGAGAGAGAAGTGCGCGATTTATTGCCGATAAGATTAATTTAATTAAAAACAACAACAACAACGAGAACAACAGACATTGTCTTAGCTTCTTCAGTTAAGCTATCTATAAAAAAAAATAGATTTAAAACTTCGACGTGTGGTGTAAATGTGATTTAGTTTAGTTTCTGACGAAAATGTAGACAGGCTGCAACACAGTAGCAGCAACAGGTGAACAAAAGGTGAACAACAGGTGTACAACAAAAACGAGAACAACAACGAGAACAATTGGCAACGTGCAGAAGAATTGCCGAGGCGAACCAAAATGTACGTGGCCAACACAACAGGTGGCTTAATGCTGCAGACGATGCTCTACTTGGCCAACCACACGAGCCGCGCCGCAGTCAACACGCTGATTGATATGCCACCGGCACCCAAAAGTGGTAAGTGTTCCGACCAGATCGACCAAACGGGTCTATCTATCAGTTCAGACACCGCTATTGCCTAATCTAACCGACGAAATTGTTCAATTCGAATGGCTCTTAGCGGAGCTTTTCTATTTTTAGCTTGTGATTCCCTTTCGATAAAAAAGACAGTCAAGCCTATGGCCAGAGGCCTGTGCTCTAGCAATTCACACTTTCTAGTTCTCCCACTCAGCATACTTATTCTAGTTCAAATTGAATAGTTCCAATCGGGATCTACGAACCAGATACTTTTTCTAGTTTGAATAGGAAACTTCCTATCGGTATATGTGAACGAGATGCTTTTTCTAGTTCCAATTTTATATTGCCAATTGAAAATTTAGAACTAGATACTTTATCAAACTCAAACTGGATAGTTCCAATCTGAATCTATGAACTAGATACTTTATTGAGCTCTAATTTGATGGAATGGATGGAAGCAAGCTAGTTTTTCCAGCTCAAATTTGATAGTTCCAATTGGCGTATGAGAACCAGATACTATATCTAGCTAAAATCTATATATTTCCAATCTGAATTTATGAATACGATACATTTTCTAGTTCACATTTGTGAGTTCCCAATTCTATCTATGAATCTATGAACCAGCTACTTTATCTAGTTTCAGTTTTATAGTTCCAACTGGAATCAATGAATCAAGTGTATGATCTAGTTCAAATTTGATAGTTCTTTGATTTCTAATACTTTTTCCAGTATCCGTTTTTGATGTCTTCGCACTTTCCCCACTTTTTCTAGTTCATATCTTCTAGATCCGAACTTTTTGGATGTTTTCCCTGTAACTAAATATTTGAGTTCGCACCTTCATAAGTTTTTAATGAATAATGTATAGGGTCAAAGCTACAAAGTATCAGGTGATATGGTATGCCTATCAATGTATAGATAAAAAGTGCTAAGTTCTTATATAGATCTACCTATTCTGATAGAGGAAGTTAAACTAACGACAGATTCGACATTTCCCTGTCAGATCCGACTCGTACTATATATACTCCATATATGTATATATTCGAAATGAGTGTTCGCTCCATTAACACAACAAGTTTGATGACTAACCGATATAACACTTACAGCAATCAGTTACACATAATTGAGAACTTTGAGTGACTTGCTTATAGTGCGACTTGAGGTGATTATTGAGTACGTAAAACAAATTGGGACTGACTTGGGTTCAGGGAAGTCTCACATGGTCTTCAAAGTACAGGGTGTCTGTTGGACGACTACTAACAGCTGTTACTCGCTCTCGCTTAGTGTTTGCACTCTCTACGAGAAAGAGAGAAGCATTTCAGTTCCATTTCCAAGTGCTTCTTTAGCATACTGCTCAGCTATTCCTACCTAGCTAGTTGGGTCATTCAGCTCGATTGCCAGACAGAAAGTAGTACAGCAAATAGATTTTCCCAATAGACATTCAATGGATATGCTAACGAGATCGGACAAGACTTTGGCCCTACGTCTTCACCTCGCACAGAAGTTTGAAAGTGTGCCAAAGGCGAAAGCGTGATGATCAACGGAAATATGATGGAATATAGAATATCTGAAGTAGAAAAAACTTGAAGTACATTTAATGAAAATCATTAGACAATGATGACAATGATAACTTGGCATTTGATCAATTGATCAGTTGATCATTCGATCATCTGATCAGTCGAGCGAATTTCAAGTGCCACGCAACATTGCGCAGCTGGAAAAGGAAGTCAATAGGAAATGTTGCGCTTGATGGAACAGTCAATGACATCTTTAATTGGCTAACAGTCAATTAACAGTGACTAAGAACAAGTGTAGATCGCCGGCAGCCTGAGGCTGTCTAAGGGGTCTAACAGTTACTTAACATTTCACTGCTAGGGAATGTTAATCTAACATTTTCAGTAAGATGTGCCTTACCATGGCAGACATCCATAACATGCGCAGCTTTTATAGATTCTGTTAGATGACCATGTTAACAGAGAGTTCTTAAGACAGCCAATAAATGTTAATAACATTTTCTAGCTGTTATTTCTCTTAACATAGCACACTACTGTTAATAACATTTATATCTAATTTGATCTCGTTTTGCTCCACTTTGCAGACATTAACGAGGTGAAATGCTTCGGCGTCTACGGCTGCTTTCCGATCAATGGGCCGTGGAACACGGTGACGCGTACGATCAGCGTGCATCCGCAGAAGCCGTCGGAGATCGAACCGCACTTTACGCTGTACACGGAACGCTCCATGGAGCATGCCAAGTACATTGATCTCAACGATCCGGACAGCGTGCAGGCCATGGGCATCAATGCACTGGGGAAGCTCTACTTGGTGGTCCATGGCTACTTGGAGTCGGGCGGGATACCCTGGATGCGGGAGATGGGACGAACGCTGCTCAATGAGTGTGCGGAGGGCGAGTGTGCTGTCATCATTATCGATTGGGGCGGCGGCTCGAGTCCGCCTTATGTCCAGGCCGTGGCCAATATACGACTCGTCGGTGCTATCACTGCCCACGTGATTCACATGCTGTACGAGGAGCTGCGCCTGCCCAATCTGGACAATGTGCACATCATCGGCCATTCACTTGGGTCGCATCTCTCCGGCTATGCGGGCTATCATCTGCAGCAGGACTTTGGCTTGAAGCTGGGCCGCATCACCGGCCTGGATCCGGCTGCGCCACTGTTCACGGACACCGACACAATTGTGCGACTCGATCGATCCGATGCGAAGTTCGTGGACGTCCTTCACACGGACGCCAATCCACTGATGAAGGGCGGCTTGGGCATCATTCAGCGCATTGGCCACGTCGACTTCTATCCGAACGGCGGCTTCGATAATCCCGGCTGTGACAAGAAGCTGCAGGATGTCATGAAGAGCAACCGCAAGAGCACATTCTTCATGACCATGCAGGAGTTCATTGGCTGCAATCACCTGCGCAGCGAGCAGTTCTTCATGGAGAGCATTTCGAGCAAGTGCCCCTTCCTGGGCATCACCTGCGACTCGTACGAGGTAAGTCCGGGAGTGATCTGTCTTCCGAGCAGCTAATCAGTTTTCCTTAATCCTGCAGAGCTTCAAGGATGCAAAGTGCATTAGCTGCGATGAGCCGGGCCACCTGTGCATGCGCATGGGCTTTCACAGTCAGCAGGACTATGAGGAGCAAATGTCGCAGGGTCTGATCAAGCCGAAGGATCCGCCGCCTGTCTTCTATATGATGACCAGCGATCATCACCCATTCTGCCGGGCACACTACAGGATAACGGTGCGTGTCTCAAGTCACGACGAGAGCACGCTGCATGGCGGCGAGATCGGCACCCTGTCTATTCGATTGCACGAGGAACGCAATAAGAAGAAGACAACGGAACGCATGAAGTTCTCCCCGAAGGCCATGTACTTTGAGCCGGGCTTCGATTACACAGCATTGCTGCCTGGCCGCGACTTGCAGCAGCCGGGACATGCCAGCGTCTACTGGGAATACCAGACGAATTTCCTCAATCCGCTCACGTGGCGCATCCTGTCCTCGCCGCGCATCTATCTCGAGTACATTCTGATCGAATCGCTCGAGTTGAGCGATCTGTATCTGAAGCTCTGTCCGCTGCACGAGGGTGCCATTCTGTCCGGTACGGAGAATATTCTGCATACGCACTACTGCAAGGACTAGCCCGACCCATTCTCCTTTAGCAAAAAATTCGATAGCTTTTCTCTGCTGCTCCCAAAAGCAGGCAACACAAATTGCTTAGACTCAGTTAAGACACTCCGCCAGCCGCTTGGTTTGTGTCTTGGCTGAAGGCTGACTCAATTAAGACACTTAACCAGTTCGTTTTGGCTGAGAACAGAATGTATGCAAAAGCTATCAACACACCCATACTTAGTGCCACTTGGCTTGTGTCTTGACTGAACGCAGTTTCAACTGTTCCCGCTTTTTGTGCTCAGCAGAGACACACACCCACACACTGAGCAGCATTTTGTATTTTATTATAGTATTCGCACTTGTCCCATAATTTATTCAAATTGCAGCGGAAGAGGAAGAGCACAATGTTATTTATCAATATATATAGATTTATATATATGTGTATATATAAATTATATATAGTTGTATATACATTTGCATGTCTAAGTGTTATTTATGCTTATCTAGCTTTTTTTTTCATTTTTTTTTAAACTTAATTAGCGTATTTATGTTAAGAAATTTATTTGAAATAAAAATAGAAGAGATCAGATGTATGTGTGGAGTTTTTCAGCTCTGTCAGTCAGACAGTCAATCAATGCGCCATTGAATCTATCAATATTTCTAACCATCCTGAGTGGCCTAGCCAATCAATCAATCAATCATTTACTTTACTTACTCAATCAATCATTTTATCTGAGTGTCAATCAATCAATCATGCTATATATGATACATCTAGATGCATGATTGAGCTCAGATTGCTCTAGATACATAGGAGTTGACAGCTCTAAATTGTTTACAGATTTCGAGCAATGTTTCTCTACATGTTTAAATATGTATATTGATATCTGATAATATATATATATATATATATATATATATATATATATGTATCTGTGACATATATATTCCAGCTTGAGTTGAGCTTCTTTGCAGTTGGTTCGCCCCTCAAGAATATGTCTTTAGCTCTCGCCTTATTTTAGGAAGCGAACTATTTAGCTTTATGATTCGAATCAGCTCTTGTTTTCTAATGAATTACACACACACATACACACCCATACATATATATATATATATATATATATATATATATATATATATATATATATATATATATATATATTATATTATATTTGTATATCCTTTAACTGTTGTTGTTGTTAATAATTTAAATGCTTATCTTGTCGTTAGCATCTATCGCATGTGTGTGTCTGTGTGTGTGTGTGTGTGTATGTGTGTGTATCTCTTTACATATAATTGATACTATCTGCATTTTGATTTGACTTGTTCGTTCTTCTCTCTTGGGTCTTACCTTTGCTGTTGTTGTTTTGGACATTCCACAGGTTGTTCCAAAGTTCTGTGTCGTCGCTTTGACTCTGTGGCATGCTGCATACAGCCTGGGCCGCCCTTGTCCAGCCACGCCCCCCACCACGCCGTTGCTGATGATCATGTTGACAATCTTTCTTACCGCTGTCTCTTCCTCTTGCGGCACTTCTCGGAATTTCACAACTGTTTCAACGTCTTTTCTTTGGGAAACCTTTTCTCGCGCTCCTCTTTGGGTCTGTCGCATGTTTTGGTTTCTTTCTTCTAATACGCGCGCGTATTCATTAATAATGTTAATCGATTTCGAATCAAACAAAAAAATATATATGTCACTTGTTGTGCCCCTGTCCCTACCCCTCTCTCCCCCTCCCCCCTCTCCCTCTCTTTGCCTGTCTCTCAATCCTTTTGGCTGCCTGTTTCTTTGCTGTAAATTGCTTGCAGCTGTGCCATGACCTCAGCTTCGCTTCCATCTTAATTAGTTGCTCACCTCCTACCCCGTCCCCCTTGCCCACCCCCTTCCTCCCGTTGCATAAATCAGCTGCCAAGCGCCGGCTGAGCGACATCAAATGCAACTCAAATCAAAATGTCATAACTTGCGCAGCGCCGACACAAGCGACAATACGTCAACATGCCACATAACCACACAGTCTGCCTCCCACCTCCACCTACCCCACCGGCATTTGGGTCTCTCTTTTAATTAGTCGCTGCCCGCCCCCACTTTACTTAACTGCCGCCCTCCAACTCTTTCGCCTGCACGTCGCAAACAAATCACATAATTATGATTGAGCGCAGCCAACGCCAGTCCTAGCGCTACCCCTAGCCCCCACCCCCACCCCTACCCCTACCTCTCGACCAGCTGTGGCGCATTTTGGGGCTTCGTTTATGGCGCGTGCATAAAAATAAATCTGTCCGGCTTGCAGCTGCCGTAATTGAATGCAAATGCCCATCCAAAAATACGCCTCATCTATTGAAGCGCCGCCCTTGCTCCGTCTCCCTCTCTCGCGCGCGTAGCGTGCAGGCGACAATCTGCTATAAATTATCGTGTGTAGGTGCCACAGCTGCCCCAACTACCTTCTTCAGCCTGCAGCCCCCAGCCTCTATGCTCCATTGTCTTTGCTGGCGATGCGTGGAAAACTAATTTTCCAATTCCCGCTCGCAGCTTCACCCCCCCCCCCCCCCCCCCTCACACTTTTGCCGCTTTCCTGTGACATTTATCTTGGGCACATTTTGATATTCATAATTTGTGGCGTGTGGCTCCGGCGTACTCCTTCTGGCATGTTGTTAAATTGCACCACGTGTTTTTGATAATGACGACATAATTATCCCAGCTCGTATCCCTGCAGCACAGCGCGTCACCAACTGCAGACTCTGGCCCAATCAAAGTGCTCTCAGTCAGTGCACTCAGTCAATCATGATTGATTGACCAGCTGAAATGAGCATAGAAAATGCATTGAATGGGAACAAGCAGCACTCTCAACTGCCTAAGTTCACTCAAGCTGTAACTATCGCTCAATCAGTCAATCAGTGATTCAGTGAGTTACTTATTCAATCAATCAATCAGAGCTTCAATGAGTCAGTCACTCAATCACTCATCCAGCATGTCAATCATTCACTTGCATAGTCTACATCAGTCAATCAGTCGATAAGTAAGTTAGTCAATCATTCAATCATGCTTAACATGTGCTGTTAACTGATGGTTAACAGCAAGGCCTTAACATTTTTTCTGCTATCCTTAACAGCTTTAAGGTGCTCTCAGCCTTGGCTGTTAACTTCGGCTTAACATTTGCCAGCCCACAAAGGACTCTTTGAGTGCGAGGGGCGTGTCAGGGCCAAACAAATGAGATGACAAAATGTGTAGGATTCCGGAGTAGAGCTCGAAACGCAAGGAGCAAAAGGAGCTGAAATTAATAACACAAAGAAACCGCTTGCGGTCATATAGAGCACTAATTTAAATATCATTAGTAAACAATTAAAACAAAAGGAGCTCCCTTGACAATGGCGGCATTATACCAAGTCCCTGTCAGCGCGCGACACGCCTACGGGCGGCGGGCGGCGGGCGGCGGGCGGAGGGCAACGCTTACATAAATGTCACAGAGCCCGGAGAGAAAACAGAGCATAATGAAAGCCAAACAAATCAAAGGGCGACGTTTCTGTATTTCGGGTCGTTTTGGCTTTGCGCAAAGTTGTGACAGGTCGCCGAGAAAAGGATTGCGAGAAGGACAAAAAGGAAACGGAAAAAGGATTTCTGTGCGCTTTGTTTTAATGCTTTTGTTGCTGGTCTCTGCGCTTAATTGCATTTCACGTACAATTTGTCAAAACACACACTGAAGACTCTCCTCGGGCGCTCTACCCCGATCACTCCCAGCAGCGCTCTACCCCCGCCCCCACAGGATAAGGCTGTGCTAACATATTTCTAATTTCTGCTTTCTAGTTTATAAACGTGCCTTATCTGCAGCCTGCGGCAATTCACATGGTCCATGCGGCTTGCAAACACGTGGCACCCCCAGCCTCTTGCAGCCAACCCCCTCTGTCACCCACCGTTCCTCCCACCCCCTCCTCTTGAACTGCGCAGCCGTCGCGACGCTCTCGACCGCAAATCACCTGATGCTACTTTTCCCATTGCCAACAATAACTGCTGCCACGCCCCGCTTAAGCACGAGGGCGTCCACCCCTACACGCCTCTCTCTGTCCCTCTCCCACTCTTTGAATCGCTCTGTCATAATGGCTTGGCTGGTTAGCTATACAATATGTTTGTAATATGATCCTGCGTGCTTGAGCATAATTTGTTATTTTAGCTATCGCATTATGCTACCTCTGCAGCAACCCCCACCCCTCCACCTTTGATTAAACTACGCACTGGGGTAATACAGACGAACGTACGCATACATATTTATACGTAAATGGATTTCTCGCAGCGGAACATCTTTTGTCAGCCAAAGCAAAACAACAAAAACAAAAAATATCGATTACATTCGCTGAAAACTTTTTGTCTGTATGCTGAGGTAGAAGAAGAAGCAGATGAAGAAGAGGAGGTGCAGGTGAAGGAGGAGGAGGAGGAGAGCCTGAGACAGCGCTCATTGGAGGCCCCAGGAATAACATAACCATAAATAAGGGTAATAAAATTGATGCTCAGTTGTCGCTGCAGCTGTCCTGCACTAAGAGCAACAAATAAATTGTTGCTGTTGCTGTTGTTGCTTTTGTTTTTTTTTTTGTTTTTGGCGATCGAGCAATACTCATAACACTAACTCACAGTCAGCAGGGCAAACAGCTACCAACTTTTAATGAGCTCTCTCTCTCTCGCTTTCCGTCTCCCTCACTCTTTCTCTGCTCATGCACAGTTCTCAAGGATGAGAATGCAGCTTAAAGTTTTGTGACGCAGCTTTTTAAATGCAGTTGCTGAGAAGAACTCCAAAAGTCAATTTGCCTCAATAGTAGTTGTCGCTGCATTTGCGTATTCTTTTCGCTCTGCGGCGAACTACATGTTCATTAATGTAAATGCCCTCAACTTATTCTATTTGACACAATAGCAGTTGTCGCTGTGTTATCTTAGCTTTTCGCCGCAGAGCGCAGAGTTCACTCATGAGACTTTAGTTCTGTGTCAAAGGTACACAAATTTAGTATTTGCTGTATTTATGCACACACATACATACATACATATATGTATAAAGCTTTTAGATAAAAAATATGTGAAAATTGCCTTGGGCTATTTTAAAATTTATTGCATTCAACTGTTTCTTAAGCAATCTAAATACAATAATTAACTGTATATAATAAATGTATGTAAAAAAAAATGTAACATAATTTAGTAAAATGTTCACTTACATTTCCTATATGCATAAAAAAACTTAAAGAGGAAGACAAATATCTATATATGTGTATTGTCCAGTTACAAAAGATGTTGGCTGTAATTGTTTTTTGCCTTCTTATTTTAGTCAAACAAATATCTTGACATCTAAATCCAGAGTAAGTACATAGCTATACTTTGTATATGTATATGTACATATGTGTAATTGAAGTATTCCTTTGCTGTTGATGTAGTTGTTTTTTTCGTATACAGCTGCGTATGTGTTGGTATTTTGAGTACTTAAGGGAGTGAGCACTCAATTTCGATAATGAGAACGGATTCGCCTCACACTTGAGCACACTTGCAAAGCGAAGCCGACAAATGCTCTTTTTCGTATCTCCTTTTCACTCTTGCTGCTGTTGTTGTTGTTGCTGTAACTGTTTGTGTTACGTTTTGTCTTGCTTTGTTATTTCGCTGCAGTTGTTCTTGTTGTTGCTGCTGTCATTGTGTTTGGCCATTGGGCGAAGCATGCGAAAATTCTGAACAGCGGCGAGTTATTAAAAATAATATTCGCCGGATAAGCGCAGTCAGGCGTGCAACTGGAAAGGCAGCAGCAGCAGCAGCGGCAGCGAATTTGAATTGAGGAGTGGGCAATGTGCAGCTTATCTCGCATCTTTGCATTAACACTTCGGGTTTCGCCGCCTGCTATTGTTGTTGTTGTTGTTGCTATGCACACATATTCACACACACGCACACAAACACACACATGGCACAAAATGGCTGCCAATGATGGCATTTCGCTTATCAGATCAGCGCAATCGCCGCGCTGTGACAATGAAAATTTAGCACCTTGAATCATACACACTCACACATACACACACACATGCATACAATCGCTTGCTTGCGCGCTCTATCTCTTTCTTACTCCCTCTCTCCCTGTCTCCCTCTTTTGCTCTTACAGCTTCTCAAAGGCATTCGCATTGGTGAGCATCTCACGAGTCAAACGCCAGACTTGCTTGGCGGCCTGCTCCAGGGCGCTGGGGGATTTGCCCTTGAACATGTCGAGGCTGGGCAGAAAATAGTGGGGACAGCGCCGGTATTGCAGGCAGGAGATTAGCTGCAGGAATATCCCATTCAAACGGTCCGCAATGCAGCCCTCGTCCCACTCAAAGTCACGCGGATGCTTCTCGCACTCGTAGAGCAACAGATTCTTCAGATGATATGCGCTGATCGGATTGCCGGGCAGCTCCAAATGCCGGTCACGCAGTGTCTTCAATATGCTCAAGCAGCGGCGACGGCAGCCACCTTTGAAGATTCACATCATCAGCTCAGTTGCCAATAGATTGTTAAATCTGGCCCAGCCCCCAGCCCGCGCACTCACCTTGCAGCAGTCGATTCTCGGCCTCGAAGAAGCTGAGCACCCAAGCATCGCCCTCCATGCTGGCCGCATTGTTGTTCTTGTTCTGCATGACGATGCTCTCCTTGGAGAGCAGATCGAAGCCCTCCGTCTTGACCTCGGCCACAATATTGGGATGCGGCCAGGGTATGTGCGGCATCGGCCAATGGGCCGCCGATCTCGGCCAGATGCCGGAACACTTGAAAGCCGGCGTTATTTGCACCACAAAGCGCTCCCGGATGCGCAGCTTCACCTCGGTGGTATCGCCCATCATCTTGACCATGTCCCGATAGATGCTCTTATCGCACGCCTGCGCCACCAGCGTCTGAAAGCGGGCGCGTATCTTGCGCGACGACAGATAGCCGGATGCCGTGATGAACTCCACCCACAGCGACATCGAGCGCTTGCGTCCGTCGCTCAGCTTCAGCACCGCGCAGCCGGGCAAAGTGCCGTCGTCCACAAAGTTGAAGACGCCCATCTGGTTGAGGTAGAGCACGATCTCAAATTCATTCGGTGAGATCACCTCGACGCCCTCGAATCTGCAAGGGAACCAACACAGACACACAAAGAGAAAAGCAAATTGTAATCCTCGACTCAGCTGCGGTATCGGCTACGTCTAATCAATGGCTGCCAATTGGAGCTGCGTAATTCGGTCGTCTGATACCTGTCAGCGCTCTCCTGCCTCACCTGCTATAATCGTACAACAACAACGACAACGACCACATTGAGTTGGCTCTTGCATCGCCTGAAACATGCGATGTCATTGCCGTCAAGTCATGCTCCTCGGCTCCTACTGCTCAATATCGATTGCATCTACGGCTCGCAGCCGTGAGGGAAGGGCGAAGGCTTAACGCAAATATCAGATCAACTTATATCTCTATATATGGAATTACTATATATATTTTTAATCACGCCTGGATTTATAACTGAGAATAAGGTTTCGCTCATGATTTGAAAGGGAGTATATTAGCTTTTAGCAATGTTCCTCTAGTGCTTGGATGACATAATCATGTCTGCTAAAGTCTGATCAAATTTATATCTTTCAGTTGTACAGCTAAATTTAGGATTTAGTTAATGATTAAACTTCAACTCGAAAACCCATCGAATTTGAATTCCCTCGAAAACTCTCTGATTCATCTGCTTTCTCTGATTTTGTCATATTGGAATGAGCGATATTAGATATAGGCTCAAAGATAAGATCTGAGATAAAAGATTTCATCGCAATGAAATTTTAAGTTTTATAAATATTCAAGTTCCAAAACTTTTAGCAGGAATGAAATTTTTTTGAGTTTTAGAATCTTTAACTAAGCTGAACTTTTGAAAGACCTTTCTAGATTTTTGTTTCAAATTCCCAAAAGCTTGACTAGATATCTTTGAAATGCTTGTAGATTGCATACGAGATAAAAGTATTCCCGGATATATATATATATATATATATAATCGATCGACAGATCAGATGAGCTGATCGGAGTTCTGAATAGTTCTTCTGGTAGAGAGTTGACTCGCACTCACCTGCCATTGCACTCGACCAGGCTGGAGATGAAGCGCGGCTCCTGCAGCTCCACCTCCTTGAGTATGTCCTGGACGATTTTGCAGATCTCTCGTATGGCCGTGGCCGTCTTGAAGATGCGCGCCTGCACGCGCTCGGCGCAGAAGCGATTCAGCTGGTAAATCATGCGCGTCTGGGCGGCCATCATATCCGGCGGCACCAGCATCTCGGGCTACAGTGATATTTATGTTAGATGGCCCAATCGGGTGCCCAAGGACAGGCTGTCCAAGAAGGTAGCCGGCAAAGGCGGCTAACAACAAACGGAGACGTTGACGTTGATGTTGACGTTCGAGTTTTAGTTGGGGTTGGAGCTGGAGCTGGAGCTGGAGCTGGAGCTGGAGTTGACGTTGACCTCGACCGTATGCCAATTATGCGAGCTGCAAACGAAATCGGAAGCGCAGGAGGCGGAGCAGCTGGAGCTGGAGCAGAAGGAGTGGGCAGAGGAGGAGGAGCAGACAAAGGAACAATTCAATTGTGAGTTACGCTGACAGGCGAAGTGGCAACAATGGGTAGCACAGCGCGAACTCTTGACTTTGGCTTTGCTTTTGTATTTATATTAAATGTCGCGAGCGCGCGTATCTCTTGAATATCTCCTATATGTATATCTGTCTATGTATATCTGTGTGTGTGTCAAGGCTGGGCTGGATTAGCTGTTGCGATTGCGTTAATGCGGATGCGTTATGGCCGAGCCGAGTTGTCGTGCGTCTGTCGAATGCCTCTGCCACAGCCTCGACAGCGATGCCAGCTAACAAAACACTCGATGCCGATTCGGACGAAAAGATACGCGTCCGAGTCCCAGTTGCGAGACCGAGACCGAGACCAAGACCGAGACCGAGACCGAGTCCGAGTACGAAGCGGAGTCCGGAGTCGTTGCTGGCGTTGTAAATCTCGCGAATATTTACAGCTTTGCCAGATAAAACACAGCGAAAAAGTGCACTCTCTGCGCGCGTGTGTGTGTGTGTGTGTGTGTGTCTCATGAATGGGCTGTGAGTACACCCACAAAGGCGACTACAGCCAAAGATACAGATACAAATGCAATTTCAGTTGTAGATACATGTGCAGCCATAGATAAAGATACAGAGACAGATAATGATACAGATAAAGATACTTTTACATATACAGTATCAGATACAGCTACAGCTACAGCTACAGATACAGATATAGATGCAGGTGCAACTGTCAGCGTGTCACGTGACACATGGACCGCGTGATTGTCGCCTCGCTGGTCTCGTGCCAAGCGAACAACAAAAACAACAAAAACAACAACAACAACATCAGCAACATGCAATCAATGAGATACTCTGCGTATCTGTATCTGTAAGATACACACATAGAGCGCTGACTAATCAAAGGCAGAGCGCCTGCAGCCATGCCGGAGTATCTGAGAGCGTCCACACCTCTCGCTCTCGCTCTCGCTCTCGCCGTGTATCTATGGGTGTGCGCGTGTGTGTGTGCGTCTGCATCGGCATTGGCTGGCACAAGCCCCGCCCACAGAGCGAGGCGATACACACGAGCGAGCGTTCAACATGCCGTCGGCCTGTCGCTGCGTCCGTCTGTCACGCAGCGGCGCGCTCTTTGAAGTGTCCCTCTCTCTCTCTCTCTCTCTCTCTCTCTCTCTCTCTCTCTGCCTGCCCGGGTGTGTGTGTAAATTTAATTTGTTAAATACATTTTGTGCCAGACGCCGTCGTACACGAATTGTTTGCAATAATTTATCTGAAATGTGCACTCATTTAGCAACGGGCCGCGAGCAACCCTCGTCCAGTCGATATCTTTATATCTCACGGATACACGAACACCACAAAGTTTTACATTTCACAGATACATTCCCACAACACACACACGCACACACAGACAGCTACATTCATAAATATGTCGCCGGGATTAATGTGCCAGTTGGCAATTTTTGACAGCGTTATTCCAGCCAAAAGCAAGCGACGCGACGCGACGCAACTTGTGACTCTGTTTCCCTGCCCCTGCCCCGCCCCCCGCTCTGTTGCTGCTTGAGCTAGTTATATGTCCAGCACAGACTATATGCTATAGGCAACTCTTCCGCATTGTCATCGGCCGCGCAGATCAAAGCATTCGTCAAACTTTGTTTTGTTGCTTTCAATTAGACGAAAATCTCTTGCACTTGGCACTAGTTCAACTCGATGTCAACAACACAGCGCAGCGAGTACAAAACTCTGATTAGAAGAGCCAAAATCCAAATAGAAATATCTCAGCAAGGGAATGATGTGCGCTAGATATCCTCTGAAAAATAGCTGAGCTTTGAGCAGTTGCTGCTCCTGTCCTAGAGCTATCTGAGCTGGCAGGCGAACGATTGTAGACGGCAGCACTCTGAACTGCATAGATCAGTAATATCTATATACATCTATAAGCTATGGCTATATATATACTCTGATCTCAGCTATATCATAGCTTAATGAGCTCTTAAGTCTCTCTCCTTTCTGCACTACCCGTCTCTGCCTCTCTGTCTCGTTCTATTTCGCTCTTTCGAGATCTATCTCTCTCTCTCTCTTTATCCTTCTTTTGCAATATTTATTTTTCCCTCACTGTTTCACTCCTTCTCTTCTTCTCTGGCTGTTTATCTTTCATTCTTTCTCTTGCTTTTCAGTGTCTCTTCCTCACTTGTTCTCATTCTCTCCTTCTCATTCTTTCTGTTTATCTATCTCTTGCCACTCTCACTCTCTCTAAGTCTCTCTATCTCTTTTTATATTTTTCTATTTCTTCCTGTCGCTCTGCTTTCTTCTTCTCTAAACTGCTTTCATTCTCTACCACACATTATACAGGGTATCTGTAGTCCATCAGTTCTAGCACTTTCGACTCGTTGCTCTGTTAATCGCGCAACGATTTCAACTGCTCGAAGATGATCACGATTTTGCGCCCCTCTCTGAGTTTTCACATTCTCATATTGAGCTTGGGCCATGGGATCTATAAAATATATCAAATTCAAATGGGCGAATCGAAGATTCATAAATAAATTAACAATGAAAATACTTGAAACTTATCTGGGGTCAATTTGTAAATGTTTTGTTGAATTCAGGAAGCGCTGCGATCGAGCTCGCATATCATTGGCCATAATCACTCTGCTCAATGGAATATATATGCGTGTCTGTATAGACAGATCCATATATATATATATATATGGACTCATTCCTCCATTCATCCAATGTGCCGCTGATAAACGAGTCTCTATTCGAATCAATTTAGTCGCGTCGAGTGGATCAGTGAAGGATCATGGCCAGGTGGGAGCGCAGTTTACAACATTTGCTTCGGTTTTAGCGCGGGATTTTCACACACACACACACATATATACACACAGATCAGAGTAGACATATCTGCATAAATTTGAAACAAAGGGCGACAGGCGGACAGTGAGACCTCGCGACAGACGGACACAAAGAGCAGCAAATGGTAAAAAGTGGAAACGAGCATGTACTATAAATTCGACTCTCTGTGTGTGTGCGTGTGTGTGTGTGTGTGTGTATGTTTTTCCCGTATTTATATATCTCTTAGATCTTGAAGAAATTTGAATATAATTTATGTGCAATCGTCGCGTTTTTCGGTTGGTTTATTTGCTTGCTCTGCCCCTGGACCGTAGCCCCTGTCCCTGTCCCTGTCTCTGTCACTGGCTCTACCTCTGCCCCTGCCCCTGCCCCTGCCCCTGTCACTGTCACTGTCCCTGGCTCGGTCCGGTCCGGTTCGGTTCGGTTCGGTCCCAAATGAAGAACGATCCATCCATCTAAACGTTTGTCACTTGCTGCGCTGTCGCCGCAACGTTTGTCTTTTCGCTGGATCCGCCAGCTCTGCTCCTTCGCCCCGCTCCCTCGCCCTCTCTCGCTCTCGCTCTCGCTTCTTTTGTCTTTGCTGCTGCTTCTACCTCATCTGCTTTTCGTTTTTCTGTTAAACAACAAATGGTTAAAAAAAAGCGTCTGTGACACCGTCGTCGCCCGTTGACCATCATCGCAGTCGTTTATCTTGTAGATATATCGCTCTGTCCAGCTGAGCGACCAGCTCGACGAGCTGCTCCAAGTTTCTATGGAAACGAACAATAACTAAATTTCACATGCATCCCGCTAAAGTAATTCCGCTCTATGGATTCTAAAATACCACCGAAACGAACACACGCACACACCGAGCTCTCTGCCAGCTCTGTTTGTACCTTTGATTGTCTTCAGGTGATTTGCGAAGCTCGCAAACTTTTGGATACTTTTGAGTGTTGCGAGTTCACTTATGGCGCGTGTTCATAGAGATGACCAATCTAATGCAAGTTCTAAAATACCCTGTAGTGTTCGAAAAAGCCACTTTAATATTTTTGGAATGTATTTCGAAAAAGTTCTGGCAGCTTCGACAGTCAAAGCTGCTCAAAGTTCGAAATTGTCTAATTTCGAAAGTTTTACAAAATTTCAAACTGACTCAAATTTGAATATGGAATACTCCTTGAAGAATAATGCGAGCTCGAAAAGTTTTTCGAAGTTCGAAATTCGAAATTCAATTTGTATTTTTATGTAATGCGCTCTGATATATGGTAAAACTTTCGAAGATCGAAACTAAACTCGAATTCGAGAATCATTTGACACAGTTATCGTCTCGCCGAATTCGAAAACGTTTGAATTGTGCAGTTCGATGAATGCGATTCGATATCGAAAAAGTATTTTATTAGCAAATTCGATTTGAAGTTCGAAATTTATACGAACTTCGCTCTAATTGGCTTCATGTTATGTATATAAATGTAATAAAACTGTTAATAACAGCAGCTATGGCGCTCTGTTATTAGCATGTTGCTGTTATGTTATTACCTGTTAAATAGTTTAATTAATTCCCAGCAAATTGTTGATTAAATTTTATTAACAGAGCTCATTATGTTAACGTGACATTTCATTTAACATTAACATTAACATTGGCTCTAACATAGATGTTAACATAAGCAGCGCCATTTGCAAATTCTTCATTTGACTTTCTCAGCCGCTCTTCAAGCTGGACATGCGCTGAATTCATAAGGACAAAGAAAAACCACATTGCCACGCCCATCTTGAAACGACTTACCGCTTGCCTGCTGCTGCTGCTGCTGCTCCTTTCTGTTGGCTATCCAAAAAGCATTCTTTAAGCGGATTTGCATTAACGCTCGAGCAGCCAATAAACCCGTTTACACACACACACACACAGACAGAGTCGCTGCACATC